GAGAAGGAGAAGAATGAAGAATAATAGTAGACCTAGTAGGAAATTGGTCTCCCTCCTCCCTCCTCCGTAGCCTGCATTTAAAGGGGAGAAGGAAATAATTGATGGAGACAAGAGGGGACATTGTCCATGTGAAGCCCATGTGCGGCATGTGGTTTCCATGTGATAGTGTTCCACGGGTCCCGCCAAATGTCTCCATATCACTTAAAATATATTTTTCTGTCCATATATCTCTGGTTTTGTCTTGAATAATTTATCTAATTTATATCTTGGGCCAGATAAAATTGGGCTTTCTTGTACTGTTTAAATAATATTGGATTAGGAAAAATCCCTAATCCATCAACTTCATTTGATAAAAAGATATACACATTACACATACACACATATTTTTATATGTCTGCACATATATTTATGTGTCTACACATTTATTTTGCACATAAAAATGTCTTATACTTTGAAATATCTAATGAGATATTTTGCACATTAATTTTTTTGCACATAAATTAGGAAAAATTATATATAACGGATTAGGTATTCGGATAAACAATTATTTAAACAGATACATATTCGTATCGGATTTCAAGCGGATCAGATATACAATTACCAAATTCGTATCTGTTTAGTAATCGGATATAGATAATATCTGTTTAAAACGGGTACGGATTTTCAGCTATCCGTTACCTATAGTACTATACTAGTAAAATTAATGATTTCTATCTAGTTTACTTCTCGATAAACTCATCCACACTAGCCCCCACGAACCCACTCGTCCAATCCTTTTAATTTCATTTTCCGAACTTAGTTGACTTTCAAGTGAAAAAATTGACCCAGAAGCTAACTAAACTTGGGAGATGAAATTGAAGACGTTAGAGGATTGGCTACGGGTCAGGCCGAGATGAAGGTGTTTGTGGGGGGTTAGGAGGGTATGGATATTAATTTTATGACTAAGACATCGTAGGAGCCTTAATTGGAGTTATTGTCATATTATAACATTCCACCTAGACCTGTGCAAATAAAGATCCAGGCCGGATCTGGGCCGGGCTGGATACAAATTATTAGCCCATTTATATGGGCGGTTCTAGCCCGGCCCAAATTGGATGGGCTAAACTCTTTACCCATACCCGCACACCTTAGCAGGCCGAACTACCCACCAGGCCGCCTGGCCCAGATAAAACAACAAGAAAAATTTTTTTGCCCAAAATATTCAAAAAGACATTGTACTCTTTTTTCAATATTTAAAATAAAATCACCACTCGCCAAATTTACATAGAAAGCATAACGTACAGAGGTATTGTTGCATAATTAATAAACCCATCATACTAATTCATTAAAAGAATATTGATATTTGTATAAGAGAGGTGAGTGACTTGAACTATTATACATGAACTATAACAATTTTTCTAAATTATATTGGCTAGATAATTAATAATAAAGTAAATACTTTTGATGAATATGGGCGAGACTGTTGGCCCGGATGGACTAAAAAAACTTCCAGATCTGCCCAAATACAATTCGGGCTCGGTCCAACCCGCCCATGTGGGTATTAAAGGTTGTCCATATCCGCCCTTTTTAAAGGACGAACTAGGCAGGCTAGACGGGCCGACCCTTGTTTGCACATGTCTAATTCCACCCAATTACACCAAGGTTCCCATGACATTGCCGGCATTGTCATGGGATGACCAGGAGGTCCTCCAATACTCGTAAAATTGATGGTTCTACCCCCTAACCCCCCCAGTAAACCCTCTCACCTCGCCCCGACCCGAACACCCCCCACCCACTTCAATTGTACCCCACAAGTTAATTTTGACTTTAGAATCAAAATTTGACTCCAAAGTCAAAATCAACTTGTGTGATACAATTGACGGGGGTAGGAGGGTGTGTTCGGGTCGGGGCGGGGTTGGGGTTTACCGGGGGTAGGAACCGTCAATTTTTCAAATGGGGCACCGGAGCACCCCCGGGTCATCCCATGACATTGGATTCCAATGGCATGGGAATCCCACCCCATTAATTATAAGTTGTTTGTCAAAAGAAGGAAAGTCATAAAAAATATACTTCATCCATCCAAAAAAGAGTGTCACGCATAGTTGTCATATTTTTTTCTATTCGTATGTTTTTACTGCTTATTTGATAAAATGAAATATTTTTGTTATCTCTTGTTTAGTAGAACTTTTCACATAATTTTTAAAAATGTAAGTTTTATTTTATATTTCTATACCAACCATTAAATAAAATACATTAAAAAAACTTAAAATTTTGCTACTTTTTACGTAATATGGCATTCTTTACGTAGTACACCCTCCAATTTTTAGATGTTTCTCAGTTTGTATTACGATGTTTGACTAAATTAGTGTAGAATTAAAAACTAAAAATTATATACTCCGAGTATTTGAGAACAACATCAAAAGACTCAGAAAACAAGTAATGTAGGATGTTTATACCAAAATATTTTAAAAGATACTCCCTATTAGTGGTCCGTCAAATATTTAATTCAAAAAATGAATGGGACACTTAAAAAAAGAGTGGTGAAAGAAATTAGGACTTAAAAGTCATATATATTCCCTCCGTCTCACATAGTATTTTGACCGTTTTTTATTTTTTTAAAATTGGACAAATATTTGAGACACAACCCGCCCAAGGGAGATGGGATATGCTAGGGGTACACCAAAAAGTGTACCCCAAATGTACACCAACCTCTTACTAACCATTTATTTTATTTTGTTTTTATTTTTAAATTTTTTTGAAAATTTCTTGCCTTTTTTGTGTGGTGATGGAGGGGTGGGGGATGTTTGGGGTACAGTTTTGGTGTACCCCTAGCATTTTCCATAGTAGAATATATACGTACCTGTAAACAATTAGGACGGGGAGAGGCTTATTTGAGAGGAGGGAATGAAGGTGTTGTTTGGAATTGAAATGGCGGATGCAGTCCAGCCTTATCTCCACCAAATCCGCACCCTCCCCTTTCGCCTTATGCATCCCCTCTATCACCTCCGCCACCGTACCCGCCGCCAATGGTGCACAAACCATGGTGCTGCCGCCGCCGTTCCTCCCCATCCCAACACTTCGCCGCCCCATCGATATAATAATTATAATTATTAATTATAATAAAGAAAAACTAAACAAAATTTATTTATGGGAAAGAAAAAAAAGGCTGGCTGGTGAGACTTTGAAAGTTCAACAAGCTAGGGAAATGATGACATTGTGGATGGGGTTTGTTGAGTTGCTTGAGTCCTATTTATTCATACACATCATAGCATCACAGTACAAGGCCGAAAGCTCCGTCTTCCTATAGTACTCTAATTATAAACATTAAATATAATAGGTAAATAGAGAACTTAATGAATACAACCTCCCCCAACTGGACGTCTCAAAATAATTTTTTTATAGCATTTTTTAAAAAAGATACAGATAAATTGTTCATATAATATATTTTTCGATTTGTATACTACCTCCGTTTCATTGTCTTTGTCCACTTTTGACTTTTGGAACTGTTCATCTAAGCAATTTGACTCATCAAATTCTCTTAATGTGTAAGCCTAAAAATAGTCATGTGTGATCTTATTTGATTCGTCTTAACATATAGATTATTAATATATAATTTGTATAATTTTTTAATATACAAATTACAAGATAAAATGGATTAAAGAAGTGCATTGGATGGTGTGCCAAAAAGTAAGTCGACAAAGACAGTGGGACGGAGGGAGTATATTTTATTTACATAGTTTTACTCTTTTTATTTTAATACCGTTAATAAAAATAAACAGTAATATGATTTGGGAAGAGAGATGGATGGATTGAATGTTTGGTTGGCACATTCATATCTACGTTTTGATGTAGGTAGGTGGGTGCCGGTTTGTCAAAAAAAAGGGATTACCCTATATTAAATAAAGTATTAGAATTGAAAAATGCTACATTACTCATATTTGTACCTCACTTTGTATCTCAAAGTATTATCCTGACATTAAGTATAATATTGGTATTATGTCAGTGTTGGTCCTATATTTAATTTAAATGTAATGATTTGAGATACAAATATGGAATACATGTAGCATGCCTCGTCCCAAATTCAGGACAAAGTAGAACATGCACTTGATCAGGAATTGAAGACGGATAGCTGCAGCTTTGCCAAAGATTTAAATGCATTAACAATAGTGGTACACCAAAATGGTGTACTCTATTCATAGACGCACACAGACACGTAATGTCTATACATGCACATTTAAAATTCTCCGTACAAATAGAATACCTTAGTTGCGTGTATCCCTAATATTGCTCATTAAAAATTGGTAATACTTCCTCCGTCCTAAAGCATTCATAGTTACTATTCACACAATCAAACTTTAGTAACTTTCTTTATCTATTTTCGTTAATTATTTGATGAAATGATATAATCTTATTACTTTTTATTTTGTAGAACTTTTAATATAATTTTTTAAATATATAAATTTTAATTTTAAATTTTGCACCTACAATCAAATAAATTGAATATTTCGTAAATACTTCGTAGAAATGAAAAAAACATTTACGAGATGTAGATTATGTAGTGGTGGGTATTCGAACGAATTCAGCTTTCATTTCCCCGTATGGAGCACTGAGTTACTGACGTTACGATCTTCTGAATACTTTGGCCTTCAACGAGTGGAAGGACTTTGAGATTCGTTTCACTCAAAGATATGTATTACAAATGAGTGTAACGATTCGTTTCATTCTGTTCAACGCTTGCAAGGATTCGTTGAACTCACAACTCACATAGTGTAACATAGTTACACTCATTCAGAGGTACGACCAAAGGGAGTCCCTCGAAGAGGTACGACCAAAGGGAGTCCTGAGTTGAATATAGTTCAACGAATTCTCTAGTGACTTCGTAGCTCCTCCGTATTGACTAAGGGGATCATTAAACCCAAATATACCTCCAGAGTGTTGAGACTTAATGGTCGACTTTTTGTGGAAAGCCAACAACCACGCTGTTGGGAAAAATTATAGATTTTGATGATGATGTATTTAGAATGTAATAGGGACTTTAGGTCTTCCCCAATATTCAATGTAACTTTTCTCTTTAGAAATATTGTTAAAACCGAGTTCTTGAGACTTCCAATTAAGTTGTGATATTTCATTAAGTGGTTTGATGCTTGAAGACTTAATCAAATTCAGTGATATGGAAATTGGATATCTTGATCGGAAATGTCAGAGACAAGTAAGGATTTCTCAAAGCAGATGAAAATCCTCCAATCCGGAAGACTACATGATAACCGGATGTCTCGCTACAACCCGCTGAAGGCTAAGTCACCCAAGTCGGAAGACTAGCGCGGATCTCTTTCTCGCCCGGAAGACTGAGAACGACTCTCCCGGATTTGTCAGCTAAGAACCGGATGCCTCAAGGAAGACTGGAATTCTCAAAAAGCGGACAAGTGATAAAAGACTTAGAAAAGTTATCTAAGTCTTGAATGAAGAAATTCTACCCGTTGGTAAGGAAAAATCAATCTCTTGATTTTCAACGGCTAGATTGAAGATAATTATGCTTATTCTCAAAAAGCGGACAAGTGCTTGTTTGTCTTCTAAACAAGCACTAGAAGACAAACAGAGTAAAGTGCTATTGTTCTGAATTCTTGAACAACAGCTAGAAGACGGATTCTGTGGAAAAAGGAATCCCTCCTCAAACAATTGGGTATGTCCAAACACCCATTCCAATGAGGAATCTTCAAATCACAATCTTCATTCAAAATTGAAGCCAGCAAATGCAACGGATAGTCTATTGTAATTCAACGGATAGATTATCCAATCCAGCTATAAATAGCATCCTAGGAAGACTGGAGAAGATACGATGAGATATAACAACACAACGAAGCAATCTCTAACTAAAAAGCTATCTCATTCACAGTTAGCCCAAAAAGCTTGATAAAGAGAGATTTCTAAACTCCTTATCTAGAAGCAAACTTCTCCTCCTTCCAAAGAGCTATAGTGTAAACATTTGAAGGTTTCCTTGCCTCAAGTACCACACCACGTTGAAGGATACAACTTTTGATCAAACTTCTTGATTGAAAGGGGGTAGGTCAACTTTCTTACAAGTTGGTCTTGCAAGTCCTATTGTTCGGACGTTGCAGTTGTTGAAGAAGCGTGACCTTCGAAGGAACAACAAAGCCAGCACGAGTGTAGTAGCAACATTGGCCTTGCGAAGATATACCGTGCAGAAATTCACACAAGTGTAATTGTTGGTTCATTATTCAACAACCAACTACATAGTAGATTTTGAGGACGTAGAAGGATTACCCCACCTTCGAACCTCGTTAAAGTTTGCGTGTCTCTCTCTTTTATCTTTACTCTTACTTGCAATTATATTAATTGTGAAAACTAACCCATCCATATTGATTACTGCTCACTCTACCCACCAAATTCCGCACACAATCTAAAGTTCACAAGGACTCTAGATTAACACTCATTTTCACGTTTTCAAAAGAAACGAAAAAGTTTTAAATTTGTAACAAAGTCTATTCACCCCCC